TTATTTGGAGGACTTTGATCAGTGGATGATAAGAACATTTGATTCTTCCACTCTTACTACTATTCACCTCTCTGCTCTTCTGCATAACACCGGATCTTACAATAACCAAAATTTTGTGAGCCTATGAAACCTGCAAGAGTTCAAAGAAATGTTTTTTACAAGAGGAAAGTGTAAAGCCTAGCAAGATCCTTCTAGAGAAGGAAAAAATATTATTTCATGTGAATGAGAGAAAACAGAGAATAAAATTAGGATTAGTGGGTGAGATTTTCAAGTAAGTGAGTCTGATTAGTGAAGGAAATCACAAACATGAACAATCAAAAGAGTGAGTTTTTATTCTATAATTTTTCTCTTAATAAAAAAATCATCAGTTTCCAATCTGATTATAGAGTGTTATTTTATGCTAGAGGGATCATAAGAGAAAGTGAGATTCAATAGAGATCAAGAGTGTAGAAACCCTACATAGGAATTTTAACAAACATCTGGTGATCATAAAACCAAAGATCATTGAGATTTTTTTTCCAGAAACTATTCAGGTAAAAAAAAATTCAATTGAAAGAAGAACTTATAAAAGGGAAAAAAAAAACAGTCCAAGAGAAGAAATCTCTACTTGAAGATGTACAGAAAAAAAAAGATAAAGATTTTGGATCATAAAATATAATGCATGAAAAAAAGATAAAGATTTTGGATCATAAAATAACAAAACTTACAAAGGGAGATTTACAGTTTGGATCTTGAAGAACACAAGTTTGGATCTTTGAAACTCGAACACAGATTTAAAAGCACAGTAAGAAATAGAAACTGTAAATCGTTGATACAATACAAAACAAAGAAGTAGTAGAAGAAGAAGTTTGGATCCAAAAAAAAAAAATTCAAAGATAAAAAAATAATTATCACTAAACATTTACACACAAACCTTTAAGGAATTGATTATTTCAAAGCTGGTTTTATTGGCAAAAGAGGCGATTTTTTCTTTAGAGAGAGAGATGAACAAGAACCACGCACTAACACATCAAAGCGGTATCAGGTTCCCTAAGT